CCAATATGGCCAATCTGTAAGAAAACCATCAACACTGACATACACAATTAATTCCTTAAAACTCACCAATAAATCCATCTAAACGCAAGGCAAAGAGGGTCACGAAAGTAAAGAGACTGCAGTGTACAATAAATTTACTGAAATACAAAAACAAGAAATTTTTAATACAAAGTTAGAAAATTATGCAATTACTTACCTTGGATTGAAATCCCTAAATAATGATTGCAGGTTCATATTTTAAAATATTTTTCTGAAAATGCGTTTGACTGCTGACAAAGAATAAAATATCGCAACTTAGTTTCTAACGAGACTGCCTCGGAAAAACCAAGTGCTATTAATGAAATCCAATTATATTTTATTAATTGTATCCGTCCATATTACTTTTTATATTTCGTATACAAACTGCAAAAATTATTTTTAATATATTAATGCACTAAACTTTACCCAAACAACCTACTCCTTCACTTCGTACAACAAAAATGCATCAGTATATGCAACGCAGAGAGATGTCAAAATTTAACAGGGTGTTTTAGTTTCTCTTTTTTTCACTTTTCTAATAATAGTATTGTTATACGTAAGCCGTAGTGCCTCAAACTGCTACAGTATAAATAATCGAGCAGTTCGACTACATTCGAATTTGAACATTTGAATGGGTTTCTATGGCCGTGTGCGAGTTCGAGTAAACTGAGATAAAGTAAATTAAAATTTTCTAGAGATTTTTTCACTGCACTTAAGTAAACATTTATTTATTGCACTTATTTATTATTTTTGGTTAAAAGTTTTGAAATTTATTTATTTATTTATTAAACATCTTATAAAATTTTCACAATGGTAATACCTAATATATCTAATTTTTATTTAATTTACCATACTTGAAATTCTGGCATATAACAACATTAGCTGCCATATCGACATAATTTACTATTTCCGTCAATTTACCATCAATTTGCTAGAACTCGCATACTGTATAAAGCTAATAAATCTACTGAATGTCATCCTTCCTGATTATAGTAATCAACTTCTAAAATTTCGCAGATACAAATGGTGTTTAGAGCATGTAATTTTAACATTCGATTTGTAAACATAATTTCCTTAATTTAGGGCAGTATAAACACTTTCGAAATTAACTTAATTTCCTTTTCACGAAATTAAGAAAATTTGGCTACAAATAAAAATTAAATTTTATTTCATCATTTTGACTCGATGTTTCGCTGGTTTTATGTCATCTTTAGGATTATCTAAAGTATATTTATTTACTTAATAAACAATTTTACGACAATGAAAACATTTTTTAATAAATGTTAAAGTAATATGGCGGTTTTCATTTTGAATGAGCCATTTGAAAGTGTTAACATTCGTTTAATGCTTTTGTTCCCATTTCAAACAGCTGATTTTTCAACTTGCCTGTTGATTTGATTGTGCCAAAAAATATTGCATGAAGATTAAATACGCTTTCAAACCTTACAATATAAACTTAAAACATATTCTTAATTTCGATTAATTACTTTTTGGGAAGTAGAAGTTCTAAAAAGACGTGCACCGTTTTCAAGAAAATGCAACTACCAAACATTTGTTTAATTTTTTTTGTTAATATGTCAAAAACAGCTTTCTCAAACTGTCAAAATGCCAAACTGTCAAAAAGCTGTTATTTAGGGTATGTTCAATGTATTCCTTTGCATTTGGAACACATTTGGAACGCATTCGATCATCGATGGAATGCATTCATACAGAATGTGATCCAATAGATCTCATTCGCACTGGAAATTTTGTATGCAAGAATGAGCCATTTGCTTCTCATTTTCGATTTTTGACCAAAATGAGCCATTTGAGACCAGTGTAAATGCCGTATTAAATCGTTAAATCGTTATACGATGTTGTGCATCACAGCAAAAATATGAATTTTGAGACAGAATATGTCAAATTTATTATTTGTTTATATATATCTTAATGGATTTCTAAAATTATCTTGATAAACTTTAAACAACTTTCCCATGAAAATGTTCTAGGCAATTGCATCAAAAGATAGTAATTACTTTATAATTGCCCTTAATTAAGACATATCACCTGTACTACAAATGAGGAATATTTTAATCCATAAAATTATTTTTAATAACAGTTTTTGAACAGTTTACTGCATTAAGTGCATTGAAATTTCACTTATGATTTGATTTTATTTTAAATTTCAAAATAGATCAGTGAACATCGAATATAAGAAATTTATATGTAATTGTTGATTTTTTCGAATACCAATATATATATTATATCCCTTGTTAAAATCTTATGCTTTGATTTTATTTTAAATTTCAAAATAGATCAGTGAACAGTGAACATCGAATATAAGAAATTTATATGTAATTGTTGATTTTTTCGAATACCAATATATATATTATAACCCTTGTTAAAATCGTTGCATTTTTGGAGATAATTTATATGCTTTATGCTATAATATTGAATAATTATTTCAATAATTTATATATATATTTAAAAGTTAAAGTTATTTTTATTAATTTCGAGTTTTTTTGATGTTTGCTGTGAAGTGTAAGCATTTTGTAAAATGATTTGTAAAATTTGATCAAAGTATAATTTAATGTTTTACAACAAAAAAAATGGTTTCTGCACAGGATAATGACATCGATTCATACACTGAAAGTGATTGTTGTGGAAATGGTTGCGTAAATTGTGTATTAAATGTTAAATCTATTTCGCCCATTGAAATAACATCAAAACAAAATATCCTACGGAACTACACAAAGTTCACATTAAAAAATAAACAACCACATACTCCACTACTGCCTGATGTCATTGAGTTACATTTCGTGTATGCAGATGTTAACGACGGAGCAAGTGAATTTTGTGTCCATGTACCACCAGGACATCACATAATGATGAAAGCGTTTATCGAAGATAAAGTCTGGTTACGTCCATACTCGCCATTTTGGGTTGACACCTCAAAGTTTGAATTTAAAATACTAGTTAATTTGAAACCACAAGGTTTAATGTCGAATTACATCGAAAACTTGAGTATTGGCGATAAAGTGAAATTTCGTGGGCCTATTGGGAACTTTGTGCACAAAACACCAAGTTGTGATAAATGTATATATATTATAACACAAGGGGTTGCTATTGCGCCAACAATACCTATTGTAGAACAAATACTGCACAATGAAGATGATTTGACACGAGTTTATCATTTGAACTGTTTCACTGATATCAACCACATTTATTTTCGAAAGAACTTGAATGATTTTAACAAATATTGGAACTATGAGGGACACATTTACTTGGCACATCAAGTTTGCAGCAATGAAAAATGCCAAAATTCGGGAAGTTGTTGCGGTGAATGCGAGGTTTTTCGTAAATTGTTATGGTACAAGGAACCAGCATATACTCGAAGACTTACAAAGACGGATTTGGAGAAAATATGCTGTAACAATTTAAATTATCAAAAGGAATTTATGATTAGTGGCGCTAAAGAGTTTCAGACATCTATATCTGAAATCATTAATGAAATGAATTTGGTCAATGAAAAAGAAGACATCATACTTTTGTAAATATTTGAGCATTAAATTTGCTAGTTAATATTTAATTTATGTAATTTTAATGTTAGTTTTCTTTATTGGTTTTAAACAATTCTTAAATTTGCTTTGTAAATCTAACATTATTTTAGAATAAAAATATTTTAACATAAACTTTTAACAATTGTTCTTTATAATTAAAACTCGCTTTGCTGTTAACTGAAATAAATTGTGTTGTGGATTCGTTCCAAAAGTGGATAGGCATATGTGTAACTTTTTATCAACGACCAAGTACTGCTCTTAAACAAATACGTAGGCTTCTTTAGAGATAGAGATACTGCGCGAAAGAAAGTAATGATTGCTTTAATCGTTTTCAATAAAATGAGCAATTTCCGCCTACATAAATATACATTGGACACATCACTTTGGTACAAACATTACAATAAACTAAAAAAATAACATCACAACACAGTTTTATCTATTTTACACACAACACAACTGCCATCATACCAAACACCTAATAAAACGCTTACTGGTAACAAATGTTTGAGATACCTGAAATAAAGTTCAATTAATAAATATTTACCATATATATTATAAACTACTTACCAAAACCCACCCCCGCATAAACTAATTACAGCATGAACCAGCAACATAACTAAGTGATCTGCAATTACATTGAAATAAAATTTGAAAGTTAAAAATGTAATTAATTAAATGAATAATACACTTACCTTATTTATTTATGAATTATATTTTATCTTTTGCTTTGGAACATTTTTTAATATTTATTAAATTTATTTGCCGTAAGAGAGCTTAAAGAGAAGTAAAGTGCACAAGCAGAACGGCAAAGTAAACAAGAATTGCGTGAGATCAGCTGTGAATAAAATGATACGCTACGAAAAAGCTCGGTCGGTTGGGTGTTTAAGACGCGCATTTTTGTTCAGGCGGCGATTTGTAAAATATTTACTAAGGCATATACACCTGGGGATTACAAGTTCAAATTAGCACTAGTTGCACATAGAAAAATTTCGATATAAAGAAATAATTCACACGAAGTAATATCTTGCATTAGAAATTATATCATTACGATCGGCTGTTGTACGCCTACTGCAAGTGAAATAATTTGAAGTTAAGTACAAAAAAATATTTCCATTTAAGGATCTATTCAACTGAAGACATAGTAAACAAAAAGAATACTTCGAGATAAAGAAGTGTTCAAAGTAAACCTGTCTCTATACGATCGGTTGTTACAACAGCTTTAAAGAAAACATAATTAGCACAAGATCTACACCAGGACATCCAAGACAATTACTCTGCTCCGGATCGATTGGTATTCATCATAGTAATAATATATTTAAACACTTCATTATTGTTTTTTTTTTTTTTTTGAATTATAAAATTTTAATTATAATAAATTAGAAATTTATTGTGACGATTCTGAATAGGCTGAGGATACCCCAACAATTATCAACGACCTTAGGAAAAGTGTCGTTACAAACTAATACATTTCTTTAGCTCGAACATAAACATATTTTAAAATATTTAAGAATACTCTTATTTTGCAATACATTATATCCATATTTATTATACATTATATGCTTCTTTATACATTATACATATTTTTGACATAACTATGTGTTATTGCCCATATAGGGTCTCAAAAGCTCTATTGGTAACGGGAATATAATTGTTGAATTCTTTTCAGCAGAAATGCTACTAAGAGTTTGTAAATAACGTAACTAAAAAAAAAGTAATTTAATAATCTAATCAAAAACAAATAGAGCAAGTCAAAATACCTGTAATGCAGCAGGACTGGACGATATAATGTCTGAGGCATCTTTTAAAGCCTGTGATGACTTCATTTCACCTTCAGCAGCAATAACCTTAGCTCTAGCATCTCTAGTTGCCTCAGCTTCAGCAGCCATTGCACGTTGCATAGATTTTGGCAGTGAAACGTCTTTACTATAAAAAAATGTTTTTATTTTATTTTATTATTTATATATATATATATTAATATAACTTCGTTAGAATTTAAAATAGTTACTAACATTTCCACACGTTCAACTAAAACGCCCCACGGGTCTGTGGCCTCATCCAAAGATACTTGCATTGTGTGTGAAATCATCTCACGACCTGCTAATACTTCACAAAGATTTCGTGTTCCAAGTACATTACGTAATGTAGTTGCTGCCAATAATCGTGTGGATTCACTATAATTCGAAATCTGTATGACAGCTTTAAGTGGATCGTTTATACGATAGTAGACTACAGCATCGACAGATACTGTCACTGAATCTCTGGTCAGTACTTCTTGAGGTGGTACATCAAAGGATACTGTACGCAAGTCTACTTTAAAATAGCTATCGACGCATGGCAAAACGAAGAAAACCCCAGGTCCACGAGCACCGCCACTGCGTAAACGACCCATACGAAATATAACCGCTCTTTCATATTCTGTTACTATTTTAAAGCATATAAATATCGAAATGGGAAAAGTCAGAATCATGAGTAAGATTGAGACGGCTGTTGCTAAAATCTCAATCACACTTTTTCCATCATTCTCCGCTGAAATAAAAGCATTTTTAAATTTATTATTGAGAGTGTATTTTAACTTGCCAAATGCTTTAAGTTGATGTATTTTGTTATATTATTTAATTTTCTGAATAATATTTGCAAATATTTAAGCTAGTCATTGCCTTTAGTTCTCAAACATTAAACTACAGCTATATAAACTTGTATATGAAAATATAATAGCGTAGTCTATTTCATACTTTTGTTCTCGACAGGATGTTGATTAAAGTTGACTAGTCTCATAATAAAGTGCTGAAGTCTCTCGCACGTTTTCTAAGGTGGAAAGACAAAGGAAACCTACTGGATACATATAAAGCAATAGAACTCCGTTAGACGCAACGGAATAATATCTAATTATCGGATATGATTATTATTGAAATGTTATTAGTACATGTCGCATATTGACCAGAATCTAAAATGCTTCTTGTAAAAGAGCATAACCAGATAATATTTAAGCAAAATCTACCTATTTGCCAAAGGTCAATTCAAAGGCAACATGTTAAGTAAACCCTTCCCAAGATGTATTCAAAAATCTCTTTCTTCGTTTCATGTATATATCGACATCAACAAGCTTCTTTCCAATATCTCCAGTATCAATATCTCCAGTAAAGAGTGTCCCCTTCTCAATGCAGATAGAAGTATCTTAGTCGAATTTAGGTCAGGATGTAACCATGTACTATACAGTTACTTGTCATGCATAAATGCTTATATTCACAATATGTGTTCTAACTGCAGTTCTATTCTCTATTAAGGTTAGCTTCAATTAAAATCTCAACCATTCATAATGCATTTTTGTTTCCAAAAAAATGCCCTGCTACTATACAACTCCTGTCACCAACAAAATCCAAGCCCATGTATTCGTATTTGTAATTTTTTTCATTTTATCTGCCATTATTACTGTGTTGAGGCTAGTTGAGTCAGTGCACTTGAGAACTTTTACCCTTTATTAACTGTGAGGTTTCTCTATAACCTCTCTCTACGCCTTGACTGGATTATTGTCTATCACTTCATCAGGCAACTACTACACAATAACTTTTTTTATTTAAAAAGGAATTTTTGTTAGTCTTTATTCACGTTGCCGTAGTCGAAATTTATTATTAATAACATTAAATTCTGATGTAAATTAAAAAAATTAATAGTTCAGCTAACCTATCTAATCACATCCTTCCCTAATATTTTAGTGTACTATATGGCTTTATGGGCCCTCTCTAAGCAAATTCTTAACCATCGAAGAAGTATTATAATATATCAGCACTTTGTGAGAAAATCCTTAAGCAGGCCTAAAGATAATCCCACACCTTTGATGACATAAAAATAGCTCTAAATGGTTTTTAAACTTACTATAATTGATTTCCTAAATCAATTCTAAATCAAGATTTAGAAGATGAGAAGCAAAACCATTTAATAGAACAGCAGAAAATTATGAAAATATTGTTGTTATTAATCTATTCTTTTATGATCTTAAAATGTGCATTATTATTTCATAGAAAGCCTGAAATATAAATTTATAGTGAATGTTAATAACTAATAAATAATAAGTTTTAAATACCAGAGACGTACAAGTCGGGAAACCTTGATAATTGTTGGGACCCGGTTGCATTGTTACTTCAATTTGCGGATTGGCAGTGTGTGGTTGTTGGGAGTTCTCCTCGTGATTCACTAAATAAGTTTTATGATTTTGCGTTGGTGAGTCCATAATCAAACACAATATAGAGAAAAATCTTTATAGCCAACAAGCGCTAAACAAGCGGCTCAACCGAAGTATAAGTATTAACTGACTGCTTTTGTTATAATTATATTTTATCAACTCTGATTCTGTGTTATTCATTCTCTAATAAAGAAATTTATAATATGCGCCGGCCACTTTTGTTGTACATATAAACAAATATATTTTTGCTTTTATAAACAATAATAACTTTTAGATTGCTGCAAGGGCTACTTCAAAACCGCTAAATTTTTGCAAGATAATATAAAATAATCTCATGAGTATTGGTGTTATATTTTATATACTTTTTTTTATATATACATACTTATTAAGTAGTATTTTGTTCTTTTTTATGTTTAGTATACAATAATTTATTTACAAAAAATAAAAATAATAGACACAATATTATCTTTCATATCTGTATATCATTTAATTATATATGCAAACGAAAAAAATTATCGACGATTTGAAAAGAGATAAAGACGCAATTTAAGGCAAATCTTACGGGAAGTGTTTTAAGTCTGAACTCTTATGGAAAAATATGGTTAAATATTTACTAAGCTGTTATCTTGGTTCTAAGTAAATTGATCTTCTTTTATGAATTAAAAAAATTTGAGCGAATCCTTTATTTATTGATAGAGAACCTCACAGGTTCTACATTAGTCAACTTAACCTAAGAAAGTCTTGATTAATTAAGAATACGGATGCATTACGGTTGCATCCTCGTGATAGATATAATTTATTGATTGAAATAATTAATATCGGAATACATACGGTTTTATGGATCACGGTGCTAGACCATATTTGTTGTTTCGACTTTTTTGGAAGCATGTGGTTAAATATCAACTTTGTCGGTGTCTCGGTACTCAGTTAGTACTCAGTTGATCTACTTATACAAATTTAAAAAAATTTAAGTAAGTCGTCTAAGTAAAGATATGTTCAGTAAAGATATCTAACAGATTCTTAAATAAGTTTTGTAAGCTATTTTAGACATTTGTTTATATTTTTTATTATCTTAATAGGTACACCTCTATATTTTTTATAATGTTTTTCGATCAGCTGAATTTTAATATACAATTATACTCATATCTGACTAATAAAGTTATTAATGCAATTGGATTTTTTATTTTTTTAATCTACCGTAGAAATATTTCGTCAACTATTGTAATCTGTATGTCAAGTATAAAAATAGATTTTGCTTGTTTTTTTAAGTATAAAATTGATTTAAATTATGATTGTTCTCATTGAAGTTTGTTTATCTTTCATACTATATGTGAGAGAGAAATATTCGTTATCTCCATACATATGTATATAATTATAAAATGTTTATATTTGTTTTGATAAAAGCTCATAAACGTCTCGCATATTTCAGACTACATGTCTGATATTATTTGGTAAGTCGTATATACACTAGACGCTTACAAATTGGGACCACTTTCTTTTTCAGGGAGTTCTAGTCTTCGAAATGCTTTACCCTCTGTACAAGTAGAAAACTGTAAAATTAATTCACAAATGTTATTTAATGACAATAAATCCGTCCGTGATTTTTGTTGTTTTTCAAATAATAACATCATTAGGTCTGCTCCCGTACTGTTCAGTTAGGGTCAAGTAAAGTTAAAAATGATAATAAAATTATGTTTACTATCTTAGAAAAGTGATTCACACAGAAAGTATGGGAATATTTTCAAGTAAAAATCTTATAATTATTTTTTTGTTTCTAATAATTATTTTGTTTGAATGAAGATAGTAGAAAGTAGTTTTATTCATTCTAATCTCTTGATCATTATAAAAAAAAGGATTTATTTTATTTATATTTCACAGTATGTGGAATATTTACTATTTATTTTAGTTGTTTTATATTACGATATGAGTAGAATATTCTATTCGTTATAGAAGAATAGGAACTTAATTTAGATAGAAGCAGTATTGGTTTAGAGATTTATTTCTACTTTAATTTCAGCAGATGATCGCTTGTCCATATGTAATCTTTTAAAACGGTCAATTTTTAGAAATATGACGTATGTATGTTGAAAAAAAATTCAGGAAATCTTGAATTGCCTTCTTCACTTTCCGATACATTTGATTATTTATTTCAATAAGAAATTGTCACCTCCAGCATCCTCCCAGCAAACCTCATCTAAGTCCACAGGGAGGAAACCTCATCTAAACCCCCTCAATACCTCACGCTATACGTCGATGAACGGGATTCGGATGCCCCATCATGCCAATCTACAACCGTGATTCACTCTCGAGACCCCGGTCACAGAGTTTACAACTAGTCCATCCCCTCGCTTGCGTAATAACTCCACCCCTGCTCCTGTCACCTAATCCCCATCTAACTGCGCGAATCCCTTGCCGTCTGGTTTAGATAAATGTACTCACCTAGGTATTAAGCCCCTTGTTCGCATGTCTCTTCTTTGATTGTTAGAATAAAGTTTCTATATTGCTGTGGAAATCTTCTCCATTTTTTCCTAAGAGATTGTTTTAAAGAGCTCAAGTCTTACACTGTGGCTTTTGACGCTCTTTACATCACGTACAAATAAGAAAAAAAAAAAAAATAAGAGATATAAAAATTTAGCGCCATTGCTTAAAAAAATTTATTCAATTGCAATGTTGATATACCATATATAACACTTATCAGCTATTTTTCGGCTGCTCTTGAATTTTACCAGAAGAAATTTTTCAAGTAAATTTTGTACAGAATGAAATTTCAATTTGCTCTCACAAACTTTCTCATCTTTCGAGATCTCAAAGTACGGGAACAGTTAAAGTAAAAAGCTATTATGTGGGCTTAGGGAAAAACAAGTCAATCCTTCATTTCATTAGGTTAGAGATCGGCAAAAGCGATTATGCTTTCAAACTTTTTATCATTAGGAAATTTACTGAAAAGTGATTCCAATGTTTTAAAACATTTATGGTACACTTTATATTATATTATTGTAATAATAATTATATTGAAAATCAATGTTAACAAAAATTTTTAGTTATTATATAAAAATCTTTTTTAAATAGTATTAATTCTTAAATGTTCAGTAATTTGTCGCTGTGTATTAAACATATATCTAATGTATGCATATCTAAAAATGCCGATTTTTATTTCTGCTAACCTCTGCATTGAGTTTTTCAACAGTCACAGAATAAGCAACGAGTATGGGGAATCCCATTTTCAGTTTGAAAAAAATGTAAGAAATAATTTATTTTTATGTGCAAAAACTATAAATAAGAAACTATTTAAAATTAAAATCACAAATACCAATTCTATGGAATTTAATGCACGATAAAATCAAACGAAAGATTAATAATAAATTTTAAAACATATATACATATATGCATATATGTTAGATATGTTTGACTGAAGTCAAAAAAGTTACTTAGACTCAATAATAATATTATCAAGATTACTTATTCCGGGTGTTAAAAAATTATTCGCTCTGAACATGTCGTCACAAATTACTTTTATTTGTTTTATTGAATGCAAAATATTTGAAATTAATAATGGACTAGGACATAGTACGCACCTTTCTCCCATAAAAATATGGGACAATCGGAATAAAAAGGAATACTGGGATAATATACCAGGATTAACACAATCGAAATCACTTTTTGGTATCTATAACGATAAGAGATACCAGGATTGTATGAATCTATAAAAAAAAACTTAGAATCATCACAGAAATCCTAACAATGCACTGTAAACTAAAATACCACCTTACAAGACTGGGTATACTTACGGTTACAAACTGTAGATTCTGTGAAGAGAATGAGGAGTTGGCCACACATGTGCTGTTAAAATGTCCTGCGCTAATGCACATACGGAATAGGCTCCTGGGAATGTATATTCTTACAGAACAGACAATAACACTCTGTAAAGTAGGTTCTATACTACTTTTTATTGACGCAACTGGGCTTAGAGAACTACTTTAAACTAAGAAGGAGGTACAATAGACTCGCCGGTCGCAGTGCCACATCCCCTAACAATAATAATAATAGAGGAATATGGTGAAGATTAGAACTGCATTTATTCAACTAAGAAGAATAAGATAAGAAATTGCAGCCATATACCTACTATTACAAGACCTTGTATATGCAATACAAATATAAAGGCAAATTTATGGAAATATGGAGGGGAATCGCTGCAATCCAATCAAAAATTCAGAACTTTTTTTAATAGTACAAAATATTGCGCGTCTAATATATCACATAATTTCAACTATTGGATAAGTTGGATAAGAAGAATAGAAGACCATATTGTCTTCAATGTGAAAGAATAAATATGACTTTATTATTTCTCTTTATAAAAAGATCGATATAAACTACTAATAGGTGCTTTATGTTACATCTAGGAGATTATGTTATTTCATTCAATTCAAGATAAATCAGATTCAGTCTTCTAGATAATGTTAGATAATTAAAATCAATCAAATATTACTGTTAAAGATATTATTGATCTTATTTTTATAAGTATAAACAGATAAACTAATTATACTAGTATGAATAATTTTGTGTAACATCTTTTACTTATAGATAAAATTAAAGCTACTTTTGTATAGTTTCAAAAATTAAATAATTTGCAAATATGATAGACATAAGTTTATTAATTTTATAACCATTTAATATATGTCTATGAAAATTGGTTTAAATTTCGATTTAACTAAATAAAATATTTGGTAACTAAAACCAGTTCTTTTAAGAAGAATTTTTATTTGATCACTTGTGTTTATAAGTTTTCGTTGTTGTACTCGTAGAATGAATAGTTCAATTTTGTTTCATCTTAAAGAAATGAAAACAAAATCCTTATCATCATTTTTTAAAAACAATAAAGTCAGATATTAAAAATGTCCTCTATACAAAGTGAATTTGATTATAAATAATTATATGTTCCAATGAAATACAATTGAAAGAAAACATTACACAGTAAACCCTTTAACTTTAGCCATGCATGCAGTTGATGCTCAATTTAACTCTAGTTTTTATAGTGAAATAAACCACAATCACAATTTCAGATAATAGCCCAAAGAAAGGGAATAAAATAAAATAAATTAAAATAATATAAAATAAAATTAAATTAAATAAAATGAAACAAAATTAAATAAAATTAAAATAAAACAATATACAATTTCTGTTGTTTATATTACTTAATTTAATATCTAAAAGACTCATTTTACATTCTAATAGGTTGATTATAATTAAATTTCTTCGAAATTAACACGATTCGGTGATAAGATAACCGAAATAGACTATACCATTTTGTGAACTCAACATAGTTATGCTGAGTTATTTCCCATGAATGGTCTTAATAAGTCTATAGGTAACGGAAAAATAATTGTAGAATTCTTTTCTGCAGATATGCTTGTTAATGTTTGTAAATATCGAAGCTGTAAAAAATTAAAGATTATTATCGCAATAGATTGAAAAATCGTTTTTTTTACCTGCAAAGCTGCCGGACTAGCTGATATAATATCTGAAGCTTCCTTTAAGGCCTGTGAAGATTTCATTTCACCCTCTGCAGCAATGACCTTAGCTCTAGCATCTCTAGCTGCTTCAGCTTCTGCAGCCATTGCACGTTGCATGGATTTTGGTAGTGAAACGTCTTTGCTGTAAAATCAATTGCAAAATTAATAATTGAGATAAATGAGATAATATCAGACTAACATTTCGACACGTTCCACCTTAACACCCCATGGATATGTTGCTTCATCTAATGATATTTGCATTGTATGAGATATGCCTTCGCGTTCTTTTAATAATTCGGAAAGATCACATGTACCAAGAACATTGCGAAGTGTTGTAGCAGCTAATAAACGCGTAGATTCGCTAGCGTTGGAAACTTGTATAATAGATTTAAGTGGTTCACTTATGCGATAATATACCACAGCATCCACTGTTACTGTTACTGAATCTCTGGTTAGTATCTCCTGTGGAGGAACATTAAACGAAACCGTGCGTAAGTCAACCTTAGAATAATTATCAATGCATGGTAATACGAAAAAAACGCCTGGACCACGTGCACCACCACTTCGCAAGCGACCCATTCGGAATATAACGGCCCGTTCGTATTCTGTTACCATCTTAAAACATATGAAGACCGAAACGGGAAACGTGAGGATCATTAGAATTATTGACAACGTCGTTGCAAAAATTTCAAAACATCCCATGCTCTTATGTTCCGCTAAAGTGTGTGTGTATTTAAGATAAAATTATTGTTAAATTAATTTCATGGTGATTCATAATAGTATTTCAACAATGAATCTAAAAATTAAATAAATTTATACCATATGTATGTATGTGTATTCATTTGAGTTGTATTTAGTGCATTAAATAAATTACATGAACGCAGTGATTAACACTCAGAAGCACATATGTATATACATATAATTAGTTTCTCATTGAGCTTTTCTAAATGGAATTTGAATTTACAAATAATACCAAAAAGTTTATATACTTCTTGTTTATATACAAAATATTATTCCATTTGGAACTATTTAAAGAACCATGTGTAACGATCCATTGCAAATTATAGTTCTATAATAAATAATAACATAATGTGTGGACTTTATTTTTTATGTACTGTTTAATATTTTTTAATGATATGTAATATACATATGTATATATTAAACATATACATACAATTATTTGTACTTACATGTTTCTAAACCTTGATATGGATTTTGTCTTCTTGGTGGGCCGGGAATCCGAATTTCCCTGTTGTCCAACGAGTGATTTGATTCCGTTATAGTTTCCATAATATACGCAGTTTGCACCGCCGTTGTAGATGGATTCATATCTATCTTTGTTTAATAACAATACAAAAATTGCTTAAAAATATTTACTTCAGAGCGTAATGCCGAGCTTTCAATAACTAACTGATCGTAGCTGCTTTTTATCACTATAAAATGTTTTAAATAATTGGAGACATTACTTTTGTAGCAAATCCCTATATCAGTATACACTGTACATATTTATTTTAAATGAATGATTGTTTTTTTATTAAAATATTCGTACGAGGGTTGCTTGCAAGGTTTTAAATATTTGCATTATGAGCTATATTCAATTAATAACTAATAAAAAATAAGGTTAACTTGAGTTTTGGTAAAGCTTTATAATTTTTTACATAACAAAATATATCAACTTCCTAAAAAATTTAATAGTTAACGGTTCTGCTCATAAGGTAAATGAATTTTATTAAATGTGTTGGATGTAAACGGAGGATAATCCATTATTATATTCAACAACACTGCGACAAAAATTAGTATTTTTTTGAGTTTTCAACGATTTTTCAGTAATTTTCGGCTGTCAAGCTCAAGTCTACAACCTATTTTTCTACTAGACATTTTGTTGAAAATATTAGGTTTTAAAGAATATAATAAAAAATTTACATATTAAGTAATATGAACTTTGTGTTCTGCAGATTTACTAATTAAAAATAGTTAAAATGGTTATTTTAGATATCCTTTTCGAATATCTCCTTCTTCCATTTTATAAGGATGGATATTTGAAATATTTCTTGAATATGAGTTTAAGAAACATTTAAAAAACTAGTCTCGTTGTGGAAGAAATAGAGGAATTTATGGAAATGTAAAAATATGAACTTATTAATTCCTAAAAAGTTTGCTGAAAAAATCTCCATTTTTACTAACATAGAGACTGAAATGTACAAAAGAAAAATGAGGTTCAGACTTAAGTTGAAGCATTTTCAAATTAATCAAAAACTGTTGCAGTGTAATTATTGACGAATGTACGTGTATTTGACGGGTTCCATTGTTTTAAAATCGGCGAAGTATATGGACCTGTTGTGATATCGTTGACAAATCAACAATTTTTTTTTATTAAAATAAAAATTTAATGTGTTAATAATTTTAGCTAAAATTAATAAAATTAATATTAACATTAATTAATAGGTTTGGTTTGATAAAACCGAGATTGACAACAAAGTAGAACTTGGTAGAATTGTATTATATACCATGAGCTACCAGCAAAGATCTGGCCAAGCAATTGTTTGGCTGAACGCTCCTAAAACTAAATAAGAAATACAAAATATTTAATGGCTTTATGTTAAAATAATTGAAATTAAGAAATATTGTCTGAAAGTCTTGGAGCAGATCCGATTATCAGATTTGTTTCGATATTATTACAAACTAGTTTTCGAACTGTAGCTGGTGTGGATATCACCAGCAGTAACTTTCAGTCTGTGACTTATAGACATACTTATGCCTGTGTTTAAATGCTGTTTAAATTCAATTAAAATTTGAAGTATATCTGCAAATAGCGTGACTCCTAACAGATCATATTTATAAGATATTGTAAATTTTTTTTATGTGTTACTCCAAACCTAACAATTGCATATTGAGTTTTCGTTTTATAAAACAGTAGACTCTGGTAATCAAATGACAGTAATGTACTGCTTAAAATATTTTCTTTCTTACTTAGGTAGTTCACATCTAACATTATCTTCATAATTTTGTATTCAGCAAAGCTATAATATCAGCAAAGCTATAAGGTCAATTATTATAATAATAACTAATGCAATATATTTACAAAATATTTTCTTTATTTTTTATTTTATAAGTTACTAAGTATAATAGTATAAAGTACAAGTAATAAAAACAATAGAAATTAATATCTTAAAAGAAGTTCCTTTTAGTTACGTCCCAAAAGGTGATATGATTGAAGCTTAAAGCGGTCTATCAAGCTTCGTAAGTAATCCATATACTAACTGATTCACATATCAATGCAACTGTCAAACATTTTTTTAAAGTTTTTATGCTCTGCGGACCATTCTCACGAACTTTATGTACTACGAATAATTTTCAAGCATCCATGCACGATATGTCACTCATAGCATCATGCACACAGTATGCAGACATATATACAATATGCATATATGCATTTTTTACTAATCTACACAAAATTCTATATGATGCTTTATCGAATAAGATCCACTTAAGACTTCTTAAAAATTAGAAAATAATAATAATATAATATAATAGTTCTAATAATAGAATTCTATATGTACTAGTTCCAAGTATATGACTAATTCTGTTCAAAAGGAATTTCGTATAGTTTTAGAGCATTTAAATACTCTTGTAGTGGTAATCGTCATTGGTGTTGTTTCTGATGTCGGCAGGCGCAGTGTGAATTGTTTGCAAGAAAAGGTGTTAGTAATTCCATGGGCAGGGGAAATATAATTGTAGAATTTTTTTCTGCAGATATGCTATTTAAAGTTTGTAGATAGCGTAACTGAAATAATAAAAGATATTAATATTAAATTAATTTGATACTTATTTTATAGTAAGTTAATGGTACCTGTAGAGCAGAGGGGCTAGCTGATATAATTTCAGAAGCTTCCTTTAAAGCTCGCGATGATTTCATCTCCCCTTCTGCAGCGATAACTTTTGCTCTTGCCTCTCTGGCTGCTTCGGCTTCAGCAGCCATTGCACGTTGCAAAGCGGTTGGTAATGAGACATCCTTACTAATAATATGAAATATGATAATATACACATATGTTATATACATTTATAGATGCTTACATATGTTATTTAATATAGCATTTATTAAATATATTTAATGTGATATATTAAGTATTATTCTTAAATATTATAAATGATAATAATATATTTAAATGAATGCAATCGCAATACGTTGTGCTGGTGTTCCATTTTATGTGAATAGTTTATTTGGTAGTACTCTATTTTTTCAATAATCAAATGGCAATAATAAATCAATATTTAATAAATAAATATTTAAAGTTCGGCAAAATTTAATATATTTAACATTTGATTGTGTAACTTAAAACTTATTTCAAAAAGGCAATGTTTCTTTTATTTTCCCTGATACCAACGGTTTCTATCCTTAACATAAAATCTGACTTTCTCGTCCAATAATTTTTCGAAACAACAAAAATATATAAAAATTATCATAAATAATAATAAATTCATAAATAATAAAAGGTTTAAAAAGTAATAAAACAACAATAAAAAAAATTGATTAATTTATTGAAATTTGGCTGACCATACAACGCTGTTTCGAGTATGGCCAAGTACTCATCATGATAAGACGTTCATAAGAGGCGTCACATTAGACAAAAAAATCAACCTTAATTATTATTTATATATATGCATATATATGTACAAGTTTAAACAAAAATTATTAAAAAAAAGATTGAATTTTACTTACATTTCCACGCGTTCTACTTTTACACCCCATGGATC